TGCTTGGTATTTCAAGGCAAGATGATGCACTGAATACAGATAGTGTAAGATTAAACTGGCTTGCTTACACTACTGCAAGTAGTAGCAGGTGCATTTACCTGCTTTCTGTCTTGTTTCTGTCAAAACTATGACATGACCACTATCACACCAGGCCATCACAAATGTTACTTCCTATTAGAGCCAGCATTTGCCATGTGAAGAGATTTAATACAAACATCCAAACTACCTGCTGTAACTTAAACCAAGGAACAACTACGATTATTCCAATACAGCAGTGTCTCCACAAGAATGAGTATGTTTACAGTAACTGCATGGTATCATTTAGGATAAACTTTTTTTATTTTTAGTTACAGTTTTTATTACAGATTATTGCATATTTCAAGGACAGCTGTCATATTTGGGGTATAACCTAAACCTTATACAGCAAATTATACTATACTGAAAACAGCATTAAACTATTCAGCACAGAAGTGGTTCATTAACCAAAACCTATCTGAAATTCTCATGGGCACAGATGCCAACCAGCAAAAGCAGGTCACATTTTAGACAGGCTCCTAAAAATCAAATCACCTCAGTTTGATGAGGTGATACGATGGAATGTGCACAACCCACCCACGGCCAAGCATAGGTTAAATAAACCCTGTTTTGCTGTATCACTCAAGGAACATCAAAGCGTGGAAAAGAGATAAAAAGTCAAGCTAAACCGGCAAGAAGAGCCTGGCTTCAGTCCTTGACTCCCACGAAAAGCGAGGCTGGAAGAGAGGAAACAACTGAATGACTGCTGCTTTCTGAGGCCCTCTTGAGGGGCAGATGGACCCAACATGGAAGTGTTACCTTGTAGAGATTCTGTAATAATCTTAACACCCCCTACACTAAAGATTGGGTACGTGTGCCTGTTCATTTCCCTCCTTACCTTTGGATCAAAAAAGAATGAATGCTCAAGGTCTCAATTTGTCAACCATATGGATACAGAATCCTGATAAACCTGAAATTCTTCCCATTTTATTCTGCAGAAGTACTCTACTTCTTTTTTCAGGAAAAATAAATTACTTGCCAAGAATAATGTGCTACAGAAAAACATCCATGAACATTAAAGCATCAAATGCTATAACACCTACGGCAAGTCCTTCAAATCATAGACTGTACTTCAGTGTTAACAATCTTCAACTATGCCACTACAGCTTTGTAAAATGAAATACATTTTCCTAATGCTTCAAGAATTCAGAGCACACAACTGAAAATTTCACTTTTTTCAATCTCTATATGGTCCATTTAACCTATGCAAGCCCTAGCTTTCACTCTAATAACTATGAAAAAATAAGATCAATGAAACCTTATTTTACAACAGAACAAAACCTCTCTCATCTGATGTGAAAAGGACCATATTCTCCAAGAGCAAGAATTTTTCTGAATGATAACTTCTATTTCTGAAATCGTACAAAAATTTTATTTTGCAATTTCAACGTAAGACTTTTTTTCCTTTCATGAGACTTAAAGGAAACATTACACACACGACCTCTTGAGTAAATGCCTTTTAGTAAAAGGCCAGGAGATCAGCAATCATAAGCAAAGTTTCACTGTCGTCAACATCAGCTGTGTTCACCTTCCATATCTCAGAGGAATGCAGAAATTAATCTAAAAAAACTATTAGATGAATTGTTCCTGATCCTGATAAGCAAGGAAGTCTTTTCATAGACTTGTGCGTGTTCTGAAGATTTTGAGTGTTTCAAACAATCCTGTTTTCCCGAATCACCACTTTTTCCTAATTCTGCAAAACAGATTCAAAGAGCAAAAAAGTTGAAGATAACAGAGGTTGAGTCCCACCCAAAAAACGCCACGCAAATTGTCCTTTAACACTGGTTACAGGCCATCTGTTACAAGATCTTCTCCCTTAGTTTTAAAAGTACTAAATGGTAGGGAATGGACCATCCATCCCCAAGTATATGACATAGTTAGAAAACTAAGCGTACATTAAAACGGAATTCTGTAACTTCCCACTCCAGCTATTCAAGTGTCTGATTCTGCCAAGATGGCTGAAAAAGTCACTTCCTTACACCCATATCAGTTACTAGTTACCAAGTAGCTACAAAATAAAAAAGAAAATTATGACAACAAAAACACATGGTAAGAAACAGGTAAAGAAGCCAACAATCTATAGATAGGCAGACTGTTCAGAAACTGAATGGAAAACAAAAAAAAAGGAGGAGGAGGGGGAGAGGGGTGACCAGGAAACGCTAAAAGAAATTAGAAAAATGGGACCAACAAAAACACACAAAAGGAACAAAAAAACTTAGAAAAGAATAGGTACAGGACAACAACAGAGCATTCACATCTACAATAACATGTAGAGTGAAAGACATAAGGGCATGTATCAAAAGAATTTTTAACATTCATTTAAGATGCCAGAGCTCTCCCTCCTACTATGTTTTCACACAAACGTTCCAGCAGCAACAGAGGATACCAAGCTCTGGGCATATAAAAGCAATTCCTATGCCAAAACTGAACAGGAGGCAGCTATAAGGGGAAGATGTCTCATCCATTTCACTTAATCATTTACAACATTACCATCCACCCAGTACTGAAAATAAGTTACAGTAGATTTGTTTCTTCCCTTATACAGCTTCTGAGCTGTGTAGAATTAGCTTTCCTTCTAGCACAGCAAAAAAAAAAAAAAAACCCTCCTGTCTTGCATATCAGGAACACAGTGGGTCAAGAATAGTGTCACGGTGAGCGTACATCACAATAAATACCATCTGTCATATTCAAGGAAGCAAGTGAATTACTAAAATGTTAACTAAGATATAGACATCAGCTGTAACTCCATAAAATGGAATTACTTATTCTAAATTGGTTTAGCATGTTTGAGAAATTTTTAGGTGGCGTTTTCTGTAATTTTGGTTTGTTAAAATTGTAATTCTACATAGACACAATAACAAGAAGCCATTTTATGTCGTTCTTTCTGAATATTTCCAAATTGCTGCTGCTGTAACTTTACCTCTATCATGCCACAAGTATGGTGGAATTACATGAAGCAGTGAGCTTTTGGCAACTTGCTACTGCTTAAATACAAGAGTCCTACTCTTCCCCCACCTCATCTCTTATCCCATGTTCCTCCCCACCTATGCTGTACCTGTCATTGCATCTGCTCCAAATCACATCATATTCTCCAATTCAGCTCTATTATAAAGCAAAAAAGTAGGTATTTTTCAAAATTAAACATTATTTACTTACAGTGGGAAGCAAACCATCCGAACCCAACCATTAATGATATTTCTTAATTGCCAAAAGAACAATAGCTAATAGAATACAAATTTACAATACTGGCAGAGCAAATCTGAAATGCAATCAGTTGCAAAAAATGAAACTGCGTTGTATCTCTCTAAAATACTGTGCACATTAATGTTTTTTTTTCTGGAATCCAGAGAGAAAACATCACTCCACTTTACTTATATTGAGCTTGTAAATATTTCATCCTACTGACTTAACTTTCCCATCCAGAACACAGCCATAAACTTAAAGAACATATTTTCCCTGCAAAAAGATACACACTCGCATCTCTGGCTAAGTAACATTTTACTAAGGGAAAAAAAACCCAAAACAAACCACCAACCACACATTTCAAGCAGACTAAACAGCACACAGGGCTAACCTGAAGAGACTGGGAGATGCACTCCTAAATTATACTACGTTTGAAAAAAAGAGTAAAGTCCCAAATCCCACACTAGTATAATACAGAAAACTTACAGAAGAAAATTAGAATCTGCAGATGAGTCCTTGCATGTTCCCCCAGAATAGAAGCCATACGTGAACTTGTGTACTGAGTGCACTTTTATATGTAGTTGCCAGGGGTCAAACGCTTGACAACAGTAAAAAAACCACCACCAAAAAAACCCCCTAGAAAAACTACAGGCAGTCTTGCATAGAAATTATTTTGGAAGAGGTTATTATATCTGATGATGTGAAGAAACACGGTAAACCACAAGCCATAGCACAAAGGCATTAGATGCAGAACAAAAATCAGCCTGGTAACTGAAGTGCTTGCATCCCTCTCTCAAATTCACATCTGTCACAGTCAAAAGCTCATCTTGAAAGAATTAGGTTTTCCCTTTCTCTACAGCGTCTATTCCTTATTTATACTAATCCAGTGACTAAGTAATACTCCTCCAACTCTTCAAAGCTTGTGTTATCCCTCTCATTCATACTCAACACTGCACACAGAAGTTGGGGAGGTTTTCTTTCTGATCATAAAAGGCAGTTGACAAATTAGCAGCGAATCTTCTCAAAACAAAATGTAAGGCATTTGCCTATTTCTCAGTTTTGTCAATATGATTTTTGTTGAAAACTTATTTACAAGATCAGCTCATATCCTCCCTGTACTCTGCGATCCCCTTGGCAATAGACTCTTCGGCTATAGAAGGCACGCCTAAATCATTCCTAAAAAGAAAGGCATTTTTTCAGAAGACAGCTTCAGGATTTAAATTGAACACTTAAATCAGACACCTTTTTTGGCTATTTACAGGACTACTGGAGACATGACTCTTATCTGAAATGCACTTACAGTGCATAAAGGCTCCAACTGCCAAGAAAATCCTTGATTTCTACTGCACCTATTTTAGAAATTATGTATTGGAAAGAGTTTCTATTTAAAGCACAAGCATAATAAAAGTAGATGAAACAAATACCTTTGAGTAAATATGCTTTTCTATTACTGCAGAAAGTACAGTTGTTCTACTGCTGTTTTTTAACTAACATACAGTGTGACTGGACAACAAATTTAAGTTCATTTGCTCCACAAATTCAGGATTTTTTTTTATGTTTTGATGAACAAGAGGCAGCACAGGCTGTGGCTGATTTGATCCATGGGCAACATTTGAGTGGTAGAGCGGCTACTTTCTCAAAAGAGAAGAGGGGCCAAATGCAATTGTCTTTTAGGTTGAGGGTACTCTTTGGACCATATTCTCCATCCAATTGATTTTTTCCATTTAAACCTTAAACCCTTTCACCCTCCCTCCCCCAGAAAAACAACCATCTTTCACACCTCTATTTCCATTGCCAAACGTGGTTGAAATCAAACATGTTTCCTAGAAACTAGCAGGAGGTGGAGGGCAGATGGGAAAACAACATGGCTGTAAAGACAACTTATTGCCTTAGAGAAAGCAGACTACAAGCAGTAGTTTACATTTTATGACAAAGTTTTGAAGTTGTTAAATACATTTGGTTAAAATATCTTAAAATACTCTACATTGCTCTGTATTTGTAGTATTAAGGAGATAAGAAAACTGATGTGTCTTTTCAAATTGTTACCTCAACGATATCTGAGTTGGTTCTGCTTTCATGGGGCTCGTTGTATTCTGTGTATTTAAGAAGAACTTTGTCCATATCAGTGCTGGCATACTGAAAGAGTTTGTTAGAGCTGTTAAAAATGATGAGTGCTATTTCACAGTCACAGAGTACACTCAACTCGTATGCTTTCTTCATTAATCCAAACTTCCTCTTTGTAAAGGTGACCTAGAGAAGAAAAAAAACCAAAACCCGTTATTCTTTAACACATGACAAGGGTTTGAAGGACTATAATCAAGGATTCAAGGAATATAACAATTGAGCCTACACTACTTATTCCTACTAACAAGCAACATAACTGAACACATGAATAAGCTTAAAAGAACTGCCTGTCATGTTTGGGTGTTACTTTTAGGGCCAATGCTCTATACTAGACTAAACTAAACAATTACACCCCCCCAACTCCTCCGCTCCTCTATAACTACCAAGAAGAGTTAAAGTTTGCAGGATACTCTAACTGTATTTCCTTCTGTTCAACCAACATTGACTTTCCAGGTATCAATATTTTCTTCTGTGACGATCATTTACTCTGTAACCAGTTTACAAGTTACTCACAATCTTATTCTAGTAAAATCAAAGAAAAGAGTAATATCAATGGAAGCAACACTGTTACTATGATTCTATGATTCCTTATTATGCAAAGCTAAGAAATACAGTTATTTTGTTGCTATTAAACCATGTAATCAGATTCACTTATACTTTTAAGCTGTTTTCTGCCACTTGGGAATATCATGAAACAATCATTCTGTCCAATTAGAACTGCTGTTGGGAAATAAATCCATGACAGACTATCACAAAAGAACATTTGCCCATCAGGGAAGGGGGAAAGACTAGTTATAAAAACCACCATCAATTATGGAAAAAAGGTTTTAAAAAAAATTATTCCTTTCACAAGATTTCAGTTAATTAAGAATATAAGAGTATCAGTGTATTTGACATCAAGTTGAATCAAACACAGGTCCGATGCCAAGACCAGCTTTTCTTGGAGGACAATATTTTTACAAAACATCCTCTTAAGTGTCTCAAAAAGGCACTTTATCTACTACTATGAAGTTAATGTTCCAAGACCTTTTAAACAAGGATGCTGTTTTCAGATCTAGCCGTTCAATCTGAGCTTCAGTGTTGAAGGGGACACCTCTGTCCATGGCCATATTCACACCCCTGTATTACAATTCAAAGTATATGCCACTGACAGGTGAGTGACCTACACACCTTACAAGTTTAACAGACAATAATGAGAATACTTTTGCAAGATAGGAATGAAGTAAAACACAAGAAACAATCAAACCTGTTTTATGGGTTTCTACAGTTTAACATGTTAATTACCCAGATGTACATCAAGTTTTTCACAGATAGATAGGAAAATTCTGCGTATACACACCTCAAGGCATTTCTTTCAGACTTATCTCATGCATATTACTTTTTGAATCCTATCCATAATAAAAAATGCTTCCCACCATATAACTAGTCTCAGAGGGATGCAGACAGATGTACTAACAACATTATGTACACAGCATGTTGACAATAACTGTATTATTAAAACAGTATAGGCATGCTTTGCTCCTCCACCACAATTGTTCACAAAGGTAGCATGGACCTGAGATTCCTCTCCAGCTATAGAACAGTCCCTATGTCCATCAAAAAAAAGTCTGTTTTAACATATGCCCTTTCCCCTCCAAAACGAAATGTACTTATGATGTCTTAAAACCTGGATTGTTAACACTTAGCGACAGCAGGAAAGGAGGTAACAGACAGAAGACCTAGGAAGACGAGAATATGGAATGTCAGGCATATTATGATAACCATAGTTCCACCTAAGTTCCTGTGCAGTGTTTCTAACTTGGAAACTTCTTAGGGTTTAAAGACCCAAGATCACAGAACCTCTTGTGAGGCTTGAATAATGTGTGTCAGTACTTACCGTAACTTCTTTATTCAACCCTTTTAAAGCGCGTTTGATGAGAAGCTCCATTAAGATACAGCACTGCCTCTGAAACAATTTTATGTCAGAGTGCTGTAAGACATTCAAGGTTCAACTAGGGTAAGCAGATCTTTTTATCTGCTCGTTGTTTCACAATTACGATACATTAGTGAGACAAGATGCCAAAATATCTGACAGACTTTACCTTAATGCATCTTCTGTTAGTTTTTATTTTCAGTTATCAATTCAACAAGTTGACCAAGTACAAATGTAGGTTTCACTGCGTTGTAGTTTTCCAAAATGCAGGTGGAAATTTTACTATCCACATAAAATACACACAGTCGCTTTTTAAAAACAGATCCTGTGTAAGTCTCTTAGCGGTTCCGTCACTTTACACATGCCTTTCAGAACACTTGGGGTTTATTTATCCTATCTTGGAGGGGACATTAAGAATTACTTTGTCTGGATTTGTCTGGGGATTTGGGGAAACTGGGTTTTTTAAATAGCTGTTCTCTTCTGATACTTCCAGTTACAAGACACTTAGGAGATTATTACCAGAGTATGAGCAGGTATAGACAGGTACTACTGTTTAGTTTTTGTCAGGAAAAAGGCATCATAAACAAGATGTATGTGTGCTATGTCACTTTGAGAAGTCATTAAATAAAGATTGAAGGCTTAGTCCCCTTGAAGACCCATACGATCCTAGGCAAAGGATCTTAACTTCGCTACTGAAATGTCTTTCTCACCTCTTGTAAGGCTATTTTACTTGCCTGACTTTTTACCTGTGAGATTCTCAGCTACTGTCGATTTCTTACTTTGTGTTTGGACAGTACTTTGCACAAACCCCACTACCACTGGAGTCCAAGCCTTACTTTAATGCACATAGATTATTATAAACTCAGTTTTCATTTAAAAACTCAGAAAGCAGAATATTAGTTCTGCAATTCTTTTTTTCTTGCCATTTAGTGTGCCATTCAGGACCACACTAAAAACAAAAATACATATCTTTATTGCAGGTCAACAGCTTCCTCAGCACTATTCTAATATTGCTTAGCAAAAAAGGGCAAGGAAGAAAGCAAAGGCAGCAAGATTGAGCTCCTTTGATATCTAATTTACTGTACTTTACTCTCTTCAACTTAATGAAGATAAATGTCCTACAGCTCATTCAAGCAGATAAGACTGCTTAATTAATAATACAATGACAGTCTCATGACAATTATAATCCCCTAGGAGTAATGGTCTATATATTCTGTTTGCAGCTCACATACAATCCCATCAGAACTAAGATGCTTCTGATAAAACAATAGCTTTAATTCCCGCATAAGTTATATGTACTCGCTTGGCAGGCAAAGCTCTATCCCATTCTACGCATATTTTCAAACAAGAAAACGTGAACATCATATTAAACATCTAGCAGGACATTATATGCATGTTCATAAGTGACCTATTAACCAGCTATGTACGCCACAGCAAAACTGACAGAACGCAACTAAGCTATACTTTCCGTTTGGCAAAACAAACCCTAAATGCCCTCGTTATTGGGGTCGATGAAAAAAATTCTCGGAAGTAAAATAATACCTAAAATATCCCACGCATTACAGCATTTTAGTGTGTTAAAACTCTATGTACTATCTATGAAAACCACAGGACACCAGTGGGGTTAGAGAACACCACCAATATTTCTACACAAAAAATTTGGCTCTACTAACAAGAGCTATTTAATCTCTCTAAAAGGTTTTAAAAACAAGATGCAGCATGCTATCATCTCTGGGTTTCCACAGAAAAAGGATAAGGCAAGCCTAATTCCATTTTTAAGTTAGAGCTTAAAGCCTCTTCCTAGTTACTAAAAAAGTCCCAAAAAAGTGCTAGCCAAAAAACAACCAAAACTTAAAATTTAATCCCCATGTTCTGCTTCAGTCACAGACATGGTACAAGTGCACTAAAAATGGATACAAATTCTCCTCCTTTCCATTGTTGCAATCAGACCAATGAGATGGAGATGATAAAAAAACTGCAACTCTCCCTGAAAAAAAAAAAAATCACCACACTGAAGTCAGCATATAGCATAACAATATTTTGTTTCAAGCAGAACAAAACCAAGGTTATCCAACTTACTCCAAATAAGTTAAAAAAGGCATGAGGGGGATCAAGCTCCACCTCTTCAATGTGCCCAAAGTTCTAGAGCAAGATCTGAAAGAACTGAAATTATTAATTCATCTACTTTTACTATGTGTACTTAAGACATTTATCTACATCAAACATACCGTCACTGTGTGATTAAAGCTGTCCAAACACAATACCTGGCTTTCTCCCAAACTCCAGTAATACTTTTCTTGCTATATATAGTTTTCTCAGAGTTTACATTGCTTTAAAGTGATAGAGGGAGAAAAACAATCCCTGTTTCACAAACAAAACAATGGACTCTGAGCTGATATGTCAGCAGCAATACAGCCGCATGGAATTCTGCCACTACCCCAACATCAAATTGGTGCTCAGAAGTTAAAAAAGCACATCAAATACTAGGAAGAGAACAGAGACCAAACATCAGTATACCACTATAGAAGTCCATGTCTTGCATGTATCTTGAACACTGTGCAGTTCCGGGTCCCTTTGCCACCAAAAATAAGCTAGCGATACTCAAGGAGGTTGAGGGAAAAGTAGTGGAAACGGTCAAAGCTGTGGAATAAATTTTGTATTAAAACAATTAAGTAAGCTAGGGTGCTTCAGCCTGAAAAAGTTATTTTAAGAGAAAAGAAAACACAGCAGAGGTCCACAGAATAATAAGCAGGATGGACAGACTAGACAGGGAGCAACTGCTGCCTCTTCCATACAAGAGCGAAGCAACTGGCAGAACCATGACTAAGCATAAACAGAAAGGTGTTTTGTGAAACAACAGGTAATAGAGATATAGAAAAACCTAGCCAAAAGATGTTGTAAGTGCTGCAACTTTGTAAGGACTCAAAGGATAACTGAACAATTCCCTGCCCCCTGCCAGCAAACAACAAAACAAAAAAATCCATTAATGGTTACTAAATATACGGAAACCATGTCCAGCTCAGGAAATCCCTGAGCTAAGAATAGCTAGAAGCTGGAAGAGCATTACAAAGTAGTGTAACATGTGCATCTCTGTCCTACACTTATTTGCCTGTGACCATCACTGGACAAAAGGTAATGGCCTAGCAGCATCTTTGGTCTGACCCACTACATCTATTCTTAAAGACCCCAAGTCCTTCCTACAATACTTTTCCTTAAAAAGTGGGTTATCTGGAAGCCACCATAACACACTTCAGTATACATTTAGAATCTTATTTTGTAACTCATGTAGCAATTTAGAAGTTAAGAGGAAACACTACTTCTGCAGAGTCGTCAACTTTTGGTACTTTTCAAGTTCACAGGACATCTCTTTATTAGGGCAAGAGCAACCAAGGAAGCAGCTTTCCCTAAAACAGTGCCCTTTTGAGTAATCTGCCCTTTCAACAAATAATTTCTAAAGACTGTTGTAGTAGCAAATACTTTTACTACATCCTTTCTGAATTTCTCGTCCTTTCTCTATCGTCACAGAATCACTAAGGTTGGAAAGGACCTTCAAGATCATCAAGTCCAACCATTAATCCAGCGCCACCATGTTCTCTAAACCATGTCTTGAAGCGCCACATCCACACTTTTTTGAACACTTCCAGAGATGGCGACTCCACCACCTCCCTGGGCAGCCTGTTCCAATGCCTGACCACCCTCTCAGTGAAGAAATTTTTCCTAACATCCAATCTAAACCTCCCCTGGCACAACTTGAAGCTATTTCCTCTTGTCCTATCGCTGGTTACTTGGGAGACGTAGTAATGAGTACACTCATTACTAAGTGTTCGTACTAGCTATCAGATCAAGTAAGGTGTCCGTTTCAACGCGATCCTCCAGTCCACTGGAAGTACAGGCTAGGGTACTATTTAAATCGGAATAGTAGTTTTACTACTTTAAATCAAATTCACTGTAACTGATATTACTCTTAAATAACAATTTTCCCTAAAAGAGTAGTAAAGCCATTATGAGACATATTTCCTATTTGTATTCTGGTAATGCCATCTGTAGATATATGAAGACAAAGCTCGGCTTTATAAGAGTGAATTAAGATTAATGTATCCCAAATTTCCCATAAATTTTAGAATTACTGCTGAACATGTTCATGCAGACTCCTTGTTTCTCACCTGTCTGTTCCGTTCATCCATTATTCTTGTGATCTGTATTTTCTTTCTCCCCATTTTCAGCCTCTTCTTTCTTTTGCTTTGCAATCCAGAAATACACTAATCCAAGAAATTTCACTCTTCAGTGTTCTAACACATGATACAGTTTTCTTTTACTTTGTCTTCAGCTTGAGAAAAGGTTTCTATTTCTTCTTATATACCCCTAAAAAATAAAATTTTGAAAAAACATAATTTACAAATTAATAAAGAGGAAGCATCATTAAACACCTGTATAGCCATAAAAGATGTGCAACCATAAAATAATTGCAGTTAGGAACCAAGTATTTTCATTAATATTACACTCATATGTTTGTTCCAATTGAATAAACTCCAACTAGTTTGCTAGATTCTACCTATAAAGTACAGATTTAAAATGACCAATAATCTCATACATTTTCAACAGGATGTCTTAAAAATTTACCGTTGTCAAAGGGGGTGCTGCTCATCACTAAGGTTTAGGCCTTGAGTTATGTGAGGTTTCAAAAATTTACCCACAAAGTTCTGGTAAACGCCATTCATTATTTTAGGAAACCTTATAGAGAAATCGCTTTGTGTTTCCTGTTTGTCTTGTAAAATATCATCACAATAACAAAACCATAAGAATATCCAGCTTCTGTTCCTAAACTAAATTACATCTCATTTCGTAGGACAATATTTGGAGCTTTATTTGGAACCACAAGGGAGGAGGAAAGAGGGAATATCTTTATTTAAAAAGGATCAAGACCACAGAAAATATTTTTGCAAGAGAACTACTTCACAGCTACCAAAACACCAATGAATAAATTAAGATATTCACATAGTTACTCTCCCTATGATAACCTGCAAGTTATACATTTGCCATTAATGAATTACCTGTTCAGCACTTGTTTCATTTGGTAAATTGTTTCAAAAGATAAAGGTGCATGCAACTTGAAAAGCCAGTGTGCTATCACAATATTTTAATCTAGTACTAATGAACCAAACTGACTTCTAAAACAAAAGTTAAATGCATTTTCAGTAAAAAATTTCTAAGCCATATTCCAAACATAGTGCATCAACTGTAGGATAACATTAATTCAACAAAACTGGAGAACAATCAACAATAAATAGCCTCTAGAATGTCAACTATATACTAGAATGTATAAACATGAAATAGGTACAGCTTATTCTATTACCACCTAATATTCATTAAAATAAAAGGGGTAAAAACAGGCACAACATTAGCTTATAACCTCTCTACCTTTCCAACCCAAAACGTCTTTTGAAATCAAGCCTTGCATATTTTATAATATGGGTGTCACAATGCCGTATCCTTGAGGCCATGTGTAGAAAGTGGTGCAACCACATCACCGTCAGACAGTTAATAAGCAGAGACAGCAAGAGGCGATTAGTCACAGGCTGCACTTCACAATCCATTCAATTTACACTGAGGAAATAACCATGACATTCTAATGCAGCTTGGGAGAAGAAAAAAAATAAATAGGTGGAGGAACATCACAAACTGAAGGGATGTCATTTTGTATTTACCTGATATCAACAAAGGCCTGCTTTGGTAAAACATCATAAAATGCCCAACAGCATTTAGAAATACTACTCCATGGAATTTCAGATCAAATCAACACTAAGATTATGCGATGTCCATTGGTCAACAGGATATGCACTAGACATTCTTTATACATCAAAACACTTCAGCATTGCATTCCTTTTATTTTCCTCAAGAAAAAAATTTTTTGCAAGGTGCTGCTATAAAGGTATTAATAGCTAGCTAAGGCCAGATGAACAAGCCTCCACACAACCAATAGCACACAGCAAATATTTTACATGGAAAGCAACAGCTGCCATATAAATTTACATCTTTTTTGTTAAAAAAACAAAACAGAACACCCCACACACAAACCAAACACAAACCCAAACAAAACCCCACCAAGAATATCCACTTGACTAAGCTTCAATTCATAAACCACACAGTGTTAAGTCAGCTGCCCCAATCTCTTAAAAAAAAAACCAAACAAAAACAACAACAAAAAAAGAACACTTCATACTATGATCACACAGTAAATTTAGCTCCACAAAAATCTGGTTGCATTCCTTGAATAAAAAGGGTCTCTACAAGCAGCTCTTAATTTTTCTCCTTCATGTGTGTCTTCATTTTTTAACTTACCATACATTATCGAAACTGTTCTCTGAATACAGAATTACCAGATTCCTTCCTCTGCTTTTTAAAAGCATTCACCATCATAACTAGCACATATGCACAGCCACCACATGCGAGACCAAAAGTCCATCTGGTCCAGCATTTTATCCATGGCTATTAGCAAGTATCACTGGGATGGTAAAGAAGGGACATGGGAATAGAATAAGCATATACCACTAAAAAGGAATATTTATTAAGCATTTCTCCAGATACTCAGTGATTTTTGAATTAGGAACTTCTGGAGTCATATATAGAATCTTAGATTTAAAGCTGTTCAGCAAATCTTCTTCCAGGAATATTACTTTTGAATCTGTGTAAATTCTTAGCACTCAGAAGCAAGGAGGTCTACATCTTAGTTATGCACCAGAATAGAAGGTATATTTAAGACGCATTTAAGCCTGATCCTGCTAATTGTATTCGGTATCTACAGATTTTTAGTTATACGAGGCAGTAAACAGTCACCTTCACCTTTCATGTTAGTCCTGATTTTTACGCCTATATTGTATCTTCCTTCAGTTACTTTTACTCAAAACTAAAGAATCCTACTCCAATCAGCCACTTCTTACACAAAAAGCCATTCTCTGCCCAGCCATCGTGTCCTCCTCTCTACTCTTTCCAGTTAACACACTGTTCTTTCTGAAACAGGACGACAGGCAGTGCGTACAGTATATAAGATATGAGGTAAATATAATTTTATGACAACCTACCATAAATTTAGAGAGGCATAGTTAGACACACACCTAGGCAAATTCACTCGTTACCAATTTTTTCCTAAGGAAACAGACCTATGCTCCAGAGCACAATTTTAAAACCCCTATGTGGGACACTTTCTTCATACAGACCTACCTCATTCATTCATCTCTTCGACCTTCTGCAACAAATATTCAAAAGCAAGTCTATGCAGTGAGGAAAATAAGGAGCTCATGGGAGAACCAGGTAGAGAGGCAGAGAAATATGACATGAGATTATGCAATATATATATATTTAAGTATACAAAATAAGAGATGCACAAACATTTTCCATCAGCTAATGGAAGAAACAATAGCAGGGAAACACTATTATGTGCTTCACATACCATCACACAAAGGGAAATGGGAAAACTGACAGTAATTTTCATCAACATTCTGTTATAGTTTTGGGGTGTTATTTCAGGTCTTTTAAAATTAGCGTGCTCTATTAGGCATAAATGCATCAACACATTTCCAGTTTGCCACCTCTGTTTCACGCTCTTTAATCAGTCCACTGTTGCCTCTCATCTCAGGTCTGCTACTTTCTTCAATCTCAAGCACTCTTCTCACTTAGCAAATTCCAAATTCCCATCTGCATGTCTCTGCCCATCTGGGTCCATGCAGCAACAGCCTCTCCTTCCTCTCCACAGGTTGCTATGGACACCAGAAACCTGTCTTTGAAACACATTTGCCAAAGGCAACTCAGCTCTGAAATACAGCATCCCTTCCATTTTGAGGTCACATACAAGATGATTTTCAAAGTGAAGAACTGGAACAGAAGTTTGGCATGAGCTTAGGGTAGAAAGAATCTTGACACTAACCACAAAATCACAGTAAATTGTGCAGTAAAAAGCCACTTTTCATACATGTTCAGAACATCCAAATGGGAAGTTACCGCCAATGGCAAACACACATTACATTTCTCATGGGAGCAATGACTTTTCCTTTTTCTAATCCTTGATCACGTCAGAGTTGCAGTTTTATTTTCCTTCCTGACTAGCAACAAAACTATGTAAGATACAATATAAGACTGTGCTCACTATACAGTTATATCAAAAATGTAATTAGCAAAGTTTTAACTTTGCTAATTCATAGCTGCATTGCAAATATACTTCTGTAAAATTCTAAAGTTAAAGCTGTTTCATCCAGATCAAAAAATCTTTTGCCCAAATAAAAGAAAATTAGCAGACTTATGAAGATCAACACACATTTATTTCTGAAAATAAACATGAAACTAATGTTAAGTAACCTTGCCAAAGGTAAAGTTCTAATTCTTTAAGTGGCAGAATCAAATTACAGCCACCAAAACTGCTTTATATTACATTCATGAGCAAACAGAAGCAAAAACTTTTTTCCTTTTTTTTTTTTTTTAAAGAATTCAGGCATCTGTTAAACGAAACAGTAAGAATAAGCAGAGAAAAAGAAGTAAGAAAACCATGTGCTTCATGATAAGCTTCAAACAGAAAATAATGCCTGCTTGCAGTAATAGCAAGAAAAACCGTATTTGTATCTCTCCGCATAAAAGCCGCTATTACCGAATAAAAGAAAACTTTATTCCAAATTTTCTGGATTTATTCCCTTTCCCAACACATGTGAAAAGACCACACTAAATACTGAAAGATAACAGAACAATATGCGAAAGTATACCCTCACGACTGCCTATTTTCAGCAACTCAGATCAGTCCGTTTGTTGTCAAGGTTGCTTACGGTTTCGTTAATAGCAAGGAAACTGTACTCAATCTATTTAAAAAGATTCTTTCAAGGGTCCAGTGGAAACAAATTATATCTCTGCAGAACTCCACAAGATCCTGAAGCCTTCTGGCAGAACAGGTTAGGAAAAACTGTGTCAGAATTGTACTCCTTCCATTTGTTTTCCTTTTACTTCCCTCTGCCTCTCTGTTTTCTTGGAACTTCTGTTTCACCATCATGGTTACAGGTTACATTTGACAGTAACGATCTCATCACAGCTCATTTACTGCAATGCACACAAAGAAATGAGTGTCATGACGTCAGATAATTTGCATGATAACTCTCAAAAGCCACAGCTGCATGAAAACACTGCATAGATGCATCTTACACTGATAAGCCTTAGGTAAGGCTTACTAAATAGCAGACAATAATTTTGACTATATCAAGGTTAATAGGTCTTTTTCTTGTCTTAAGAGCCTGTGCAGATATTTTTGTAGATTTGGCCCCTAAACATAACCTGATGCACAACCAAATCAAGGCTGAAGTGCACACTCACTGGTAATTCTAACACTT